TCTCTGTCTGTCTGGCGAGTGCACACGCCCTATAAAGAAAACTCCAAAAAAAAAAAAAATGACAAAGGCTATGAATAGACCTTCCCAAAGAAGATGTACAAATGGCCAATAAGCACATGGAAAGCTGCTCAACATTATTATTATTTTTAAAATTATTTAACTTTATTTATTTATCCATTTATTTAGTTCAATTTGACCAGAGAGGGATACAGTGAGAGAGAGAGCAAGAAAGCAGGCCGCCAGGTCTGGGACTCAAACCACGGTCATCCATGTGGGAGTCTAGCACTCTTAACCACCAAACCACCTGCCAGCCCCTACTCAACATTATTAATAAGAAAAAGCAAATCAAAATGACAGTGAAGTTCTAGTGGTTAAAGCAGCTGGATTCCACATGGCCGACTGCAGTTTGAGTCCTGAACTCAGAAGTTTGAGAAGCACACCAGATGCACAAAATCCCAAAAGGGCAGAAAGATGTAGGACAAGGGATTGTGGTGTGCCCATTCCTCCCGTGGGTGCTTCTCCTCTCACTGACATACCGCTTCACACCCACTAGGGTGGCTGAGGGGAAAAAGGTGAAGAAAGATTAACAAATGTTGAGGAGGATTTGGAGAAACCATAAACTTCATACACTGCTGGTGGGAATATACAATGATGCAATTCCATTCCTAGGAATATACCCAAGAGAAATGAAAACCTATGTCCATTGGGACCAGCAGTTGGTGTAATGGCTATGTCGCTGGACTCCCACGTAGTTGACTGCAGTTCGAGTCCCAGACCCGGTGGCTTAAACTCATGCTGGGCGCACGTGTGTGTGTGTGTGCCCAAGATCCCAAGAGGAGACTGGAGGAGAAGGGATTGTGGCGTGGCCATCCCCCCCTTGGGGGTGATTTCTCGCTCTCAGTTTCTCTGTCTTTCTGGTGAGCGCTCATGCCCTATAGCAAAAACCTCTCCAAAAAAAAAAAAAAGAAAAGAAAAAACCTATGTCCACACAAAATTTTACATGTATATTCAATTCATACGAGTATGCTTAATAATAACCACTGGGCTAACCCCATGGTCCACTGGTTAAGGGACCTGGATCCAACATGGCTAATTGCATGGTTCAAATCTCAATCATGGCTTGTAAAACACACCATTTAAAATGGAAATAAGACACTATATTTTAAAATATTTATTTATTTATTTATTTATATTTGTTACTATTTTTTTTTTTTCAGGCAGTTCGACCAGAGAGAGAGAGAGAAAAAGGGAAAGCGAGAAAGCAAGCCGCCAGGTCTAGGACTCGAACCTCAGATGGCCATGTGGGAATCCAGTCCCCTTAACTACCATGCCACCTGCTGGCCCTGTGATTATATATTTTTTCAAAAATCCCAAGCATGTCTGTGCCAAAAATGCCAAAAGGATGGAGAAATAGATGAGAAGGGATTCCAGCATGACCATGACCCACTGGAGGGTTTTTTCTCTGTCTAGAAAATGCTCACACCCTCGGGCAAAAAAATAACAAAATAGTACAACAACTTTGGGAAACAATATGGAAGTTTCCCAAAAGGTTAAACGTAGAGTTATTACATGATTTAGCAATTCCATTCCTACGTATATACCCAAGAGAAATTAAAACCTACATCCACATTAGACTTTTACATGTATGTTCATGCCAGCATTATTCATAGTAACCAAAAAGTAGAAACAACCTACCTTCAACTGATAAATCCATAATCGAACTTTGGCATAGCGACACACTGTAATATTATTCAGCAATAAAAAGAAACGGGGTGGGGCTGGCAGGTAGTGTGGTGGTTAGAGGCACTGGACTCCCACATGGCTGACCACGGTTCGAGTACTAGACCTGGTGGCTTGCTTTCTCATTTTCCCTCTCTTTCTATGTCTCTTTCTGATCAAACTGGAAAATAATAATAATAAAAAAGAAATAAAGTTAAATAAAATAATTCTAAAAAAGGAAAGATTTGAAAAAAGAAACAGGGGCCTAGAGATGACATGGTGGTTGAGGCGCTGGACTCCCACATGGCCAACTACAGTTTGAGTCCCAGACCTGGCAGCTTGATTTCTCACTTTCCTTCTCTCCCTCTCCGGTGAGCACACGTGTTCTATAGCAAATTAAAAAAATAATAATAAATGGGGCTAGCAGATGGCATGGTAGTTGAGATGCTGGATTCCCACATCGCCAACCATGGTTCAAGTCCTGAACCTGGTGGCTTGCTTTCTCACTCTTCATTTCT